CAACACCATGTTCGTGTTTTCAAACACAATAAGTGGGAGATTCAAATCGAGACCACACTTCAATAGTTAAAGAAAGTTAATGTGGTGGCTCATCCGAGAAGATAATACAATGTCATTGTAAAGTTGTCCAAATCTGTGTCATATAGTTTTATACTCCAAGAATATTTTAACCAATTAAAAACTATCTTCGATTATATTTTTATATCAATTAATATCAAAACAACTTGAATGAAAGATATTTGTGGCTTGAGATCTAGTTACAAGAAAAACTGAGTATTGGAATGGATTAACCATTACACTTAGCGATAAGTTGTTTTAGTAAGATACATTTATTTTCCAGGAACCGACTTTCTTTCATGTTTTTCTTGGAAGACGCAAATCTTAGTTTTCCGTATTGATTACTAATTTCTAGGAAAAACTATGTTCAACTTTTCTCTTTAATATTAAATACTCAGGATATGAATGCATATAAGAACAAAAGCAAATTTTTAACTTTTCAGAGACCTAAGATATGAATGTATCACAATGAATACAAATACGTCTTTTTTGGAGGAATTTTTATACAAATTTTATTTTCTAATTGAGACAACATATTATGATATATGTATAAGAATAAAATATCATAATGGTTTACATTCTGAGGCCAATTAAAAAGAGTGTTCAATTAAAAACAGGTGATTGGTTCTCGCAAATCCACCAAAACTTCTCACCATTACTTCATTTATATCTCCAATATCTTCTGATTTTGAACCGAATAGTTTACTGCGCGCTATAACACTACCGGTCATGAAATAAAAAAGAAGCCCTAGGTCTTCTCTCTCAGGCCCTTTCCCTGAGGTAGACGACGCCGAGTCAAGATGAGCCTTTTCTGCCATAGCTCTGTCATTCCTTCCCTCACTTTCTGAAGCTCCCCAACCTCCTCTCCTACATGGCTTCGGTGGTAGCTGATCCTCCTATGCCATTGCGACTCATGAATCCTGCGGATATGCTCAAAATGTAATCCCTGTCCAAATGTTTGAGCAAACTTTGACTCCACTCAAAGTTAGCAGGTAATTGGTTGGTCGAGCTTGGTGGTGCTTTAGCGGTGACAAGTCAAGACATGTTAATGTTAAGGTGGAGTTAGTTGAACTTGTGACACTCTACACGTCATAGCTTAGATAACCATAATTGTTAACTTAGCTGGTACAATGGAATTATATTAGATGTTTCTTGGTTGAGTAATAGAATCTGGTTTAGTTAATGTTGTATCAGTTTGCTTGAAGTATAAAAGCAAAGGGAATTAGGATTTGTCGTATATCAAAAACAGATTGGGAAAATCTAGGTAGAGTTCTTGAAGATTTGAGAGAGAGCGATTCAATTGATCAATATGTTCCTGAGGATCCAATTCTTGTAAACTCTTGTTGATAGTGAATTTGCTTAGGCACCACCAACTCCCAGACGTAGGGATCTCGTCTTGAGACCTGAATTGGGTAACAAATATGTGTGTTTTTCTTGTTTCTATTTTCTTCTGATTTGAAATTGATTGTGAGCTGAGAGTTTCTTAATTAGTGTTTAGATTCTTGGTTGTTCAATCGCAGTTACAATACACAATCTTTGTATTAAAATACATATAATTTTTGTTATTAGTTATATGATTTTAATGGATTTAATAAAAAAAACAAGTTCACAGTTATTGATTCTATGAATTTAAAATCATATGCAAATCATGTGTTATTGATTTTATGATTTTAAAATTTATATTCAAATTATGTGTTATAGGTTTATGATTTTAAAATCATAAATTTCATTTAAAGTAGATTTTAGTGCATTTGGAATGATTTTCATGTTAAAATTTTAAAGACTCAAATTAGAGGTTAAACTTATGAATTTGTGAAATCAATATGTTAGATTTGGTTATTGGTTTTATGATTTTTATGGATTTAGAAAAATCAATCAAATTTGGTGTTATTAGTTTTATGATTTTAAAATCTATATTCAAATTTAATGTAATTGATTATATGATTTCAAAATCTAGACTCAAATTCTATGTTATTGGTTTATGATTTTAAAATCACAGATTTGATTTTAGATGATTTTTGAGGATTTGGAAATATTTTAATGTCAAAAAAATAAGAAGACTTAAAACCAAGATTAAACCTATGATTATGTAAAATCAACATGTTAGGTTTAAAAATTAATAAATTTTCTAAAGATTATATAGATTCTTAAATCAACTAAATACATAAACCAATAACATCTTACATCAATAAATTTTACAAAGAGTATATGGATTCTTAATGTAACGACCCGAACTCAATCCATTTAAATAAGTTTAAATGAATTTATATAACTACATATGTCATCAAAATGCACTTACCGTTTCCGCTCACTTACCTTGAGAGAATTCCAGAGTTAAGCGTGCTTAAGCTGAAGTAGGACTAGGATGGGTAACCTTCCAAGAAGTACTCTGCGGAACCGTGTAAGTGAGGCCTAACACGGAGAAAAGTCACGTGGTGATTACAGGGTCAGTAAATAAATCGGTTGGGTCTCCGAGAAAAATAACACACCGACTGTGAAACAGGGGTGAGGCCCACAGGACCGAGAGAAGACATGGGTGTGCTCACTAGTAAGGGCGGTCAGGATGTTATACTTAAATCAGCTAGATACATAAAGATTATATGGATTCTTCAATTTGTTGATTATATGGATTCTTAAATTTGTTGATTTTTAAATATAAAAAAATTAATTTTACAATATCATAGGTCTAACTTTAGATTTGAGTCTTTGTATTTTTAACATGGAAATTATTCCAAATCAACTAATTTTCACTTTTAAATAAAATCCATGATTTGGTGGTAGATGATCCCTCTCTGCCGTTGCAACTCCAGAATCATGCGGATAAGCTCACAAAGGTAATCCCTCTCCAAAGGTTTGAACAAGCTTTGGCTCCACTCAAAGTCAGCAGGTGACTGGTTGGCCGAGCTTGGTGGTGCACTAGCGGAGACATATCAAGACGTGTTAATGTTAAGGTGGAGTTTGTTGAATATGTGACACTCTACACGTCATAGCTGAGATAACCAGGTTGGTTACCTTAGCTGGCACAATGGAACTAGATTAGATGTCTTTTGGTTAAGTAATAGAATCTGATGTAGTTAATGTTGTATCTGTTTGCTTGAAGTGTAAAAGCAAAGAGAATTAGGATTTGTTGCATATCAGGAAACATATAGGGAAAATCTAGGTAGAGTTCTTGAAGATCTGAGAAAGAGCGAGTCAATTCATCGATCTGTTATTGAGGATCCGATACTTGTAAACTCTTATTGATAGTGAATTCGCTTGGGAGCCACCAAGCCCCAAACGTAGAGATCTTGTCTTGAGACCTGAACTGAGTAACAAATCTGTGTGTTCTTCTTGCTTCTATTTTCTGCTGATTTAAAAGTGATTGTGAGCTCAGAGTTTCTTAATCAATGTTTAAATTATTGGTTTGTTCAATCGCAATTACAACACATATAATCTTTGTAAGTGAGGATTATTGGTTCTATGATTTTAATGAATTAAAAAAAAATCAACAAATTTAATATTATTAATTCTATGTTTTTAAAATCTATATTCAAATTCTTTGATTCTATGATTTTAAAATCTATATTCAAATCATGTGTTATAGGTTCATCATTTTCAAATCATAGATTTCATTTTGAAGTGGATTTTAGTGGATTTGGAAGGATTTTCATGTTAAAAATACAAAGATTCAAATCCGAAATTAAACTTATGATTTTACAAAGATTATATGAATTTTTAAATCAACTAAATACATAACGACTATATAGATACTTATATTTGTTGATTATATGGATTCTTAATTTTACAAAAGATTATATGATTCTTAATTTTATAAAAGATTACATGGAATCTTAAATTTACAAAGATTATATTGTTAAGTTACATGGACTTCCAACCTAAAACCAATTGGCAGTAAGTGGATTGGCTCATGCTCCTTATATATTAGTTATGATCATTTCCAACTTCCGATGTGGGATATTATCCCTAATACGCCCCCTCGAGACAATGGCTATTTTGGCCATTGATCTCGGTGATGTTTGGGCACGGATCGACGGACCATCTTTGGGTCACATATCGATTATGGATCGGGTTGGATTGTTTGGATCGGGCTCTGCTACTATGTTAAGTTACATGGACTTCCAACCTAAAACCAATTGGCAGTAAGTGGATTAGCTCATGCTCCTTATATATTAGTTATGATCCTTTCTAACTTCCGATGTGAGATATTATCCCTAATATATATGGATCCTTATATTTGTTGATTTTTAAATCTTACATAATGATTTTACAAAATCATAGGTTTAACCTTGAATTTGAGACTTTGTATTTTTAACATGGAAGTCCTTCCAAATCCACTAAAATCTACTATAAAAAATTCATGATTTCAAATACATAATTTGAATATAAATTTTAAAATCATAGAACTAATAACACAGGTTTTGAATATAGATTTTAAAATCATTGAACCAATAACAGTGAATTTGGTAGATTTTTCTAAATCTATTAAAATCATATAACCAATAAACCCCACTAAACTTGAAAATGGCAATATTTTCTTACATTACACAAACATTAGTTTAGTAAATCTATTGGTACTTTACCAAAAAGGAAAGTAAACATGTTGGTACTTTTGTCTTATTTATTCACATATGGAGCATAATATAGGGTGTACTTTTTTACTGCAACGTAAAATTCTCTTCTACTTAAACATTTCGACTCTCAAATAGAGGCTGGAGAAAGAATCAACTACTATGCTACTGCCCGGTCAACTTGCGATTAACTTATAATCCTGATTACCGTTAATGCGTTTTTGGTTATTTTTTTGTATTTGTTGTAAAAACAAGAAAGCGAAGTAAAAACTAATTTTATTCTGAAGATTTATTCTAATGTAAGCACACAAATTTAATGTTGTACATCAAACATAATTTTAAATAATACTTGTAATATTGATTAGCAAAACATGTTCAAGGACACTTTGATTCGCCTTTGGAGTTTTTCAAATCGCGGTAGCAAGAGCATTCGTCTATGTTTCCAAAAGTACCTGATGGAACACAATAATTACACTTCTCGCAACATATGTTGCAATACTTGAGGCAATCTTCAAAGTCTTTTGTCTTTGAGCATCTCACGTTGCACTTTCCAGCACATGCTGTGTATTTATTTACCATCACACATCAAATAATAATTTAAGATAAATAGGTCTAAATGATAAATTATTTAAAACAGTTAAGAAAATTAGGAATACTTACGCGAATCAAAAGTCGAAAGTACGCATAAAAAAGATGAAAGGAGAAAAAAGATTATGGAGAATTGTATAATTGTGAACTTCATTTTTAATATTTGGTTAATATTTTGAAGTTTTATTTCTTTTTTTTCTTAATAAAGATTGTTAAATCTTACAAAGATGAGAAAAAAAAAATGGTAATCACTTAGAAGATGATGAAACTATGGCTACAGGAAAAATATTATTTATAAAGAGAAAATTTGAAATGATATGTTTTTATCTCATTTTTAATTTAAATATAAAACATTTACAACTAAAAAGATTTCTTCCTTATTATGTTTTTCAATTTACAGTTAGTTACAGCTTACGTACATTATATGTAAATTGGTTTTTTACAGCACATATTTTTTCTAACCTTACAAATAAAAATATTTCTTCCTTATTATGTGGTACTACTTATAGTTAATTACAATTCACATATATAATATATAACTTTGTTCTTACAACATATATTTCTTCTAACATTACAAATACAAAGATTTCTTCCTTATTATGTCGTATTATTTACAGTTTGTTACAGTTAACATGCATAATATGTAATTTTTTTCATACAGCACATATGCTTCTAATTTTACATGACAAGTTATAACTCTGGTTATTAACATTAAAATATTGTAATTATTGGTACTTGTTTTTAAATTTTTTACAATTTTAAATTAACAAGATAGTCTATTAGGATTAGTAGGTTTATAACAAACAAAAAAAGAGAGAGTATATAACTATCCAATCAGATTTTGTCACATAAGATTTACTAAATATATGTGTTTCTATATAAAATAAGTCTAATAGTTATATGTCTTATTCTTAAATAATTTTTCTTTGTTTCGTTTGCATTATGATTTTTCTGAAGTTATATACTTATATTCTGAATAAAAAACAGAAATTTTTGTAAGTATAGTTTCTTTTTTTAGATATAATAATGATATTTAATAAATAAAAATTACTATTTTTAATAATAATTGAGTTCAGATAATATAAAATTTATTGAGATACACGAAAAATCAAACCATTGAACCAATACCTATTCTTGATTTTTTTTTTGGAAAGAGTTATGAACATTGAAAGTTCAGAGAACTTTACGATCAAGTTTCTGTTCAAGACAATGTCTCTTGACAAACCAATTTTAGGTACGATGATTGTTAGAGATGAGATTCGTACCATCTCTATAAGCCCGATATGAATTCTGGTCGGCCCATTTAACAAGTTTCAGATCAGCGATATAAATGGAAATCTTCCATTTATCGAGCGACTCGGGAAAAAAAGAAATTATTTCTTGTCGGCAAGAAGACTTTCCCATTCTAAACACGTTGAAGACCGACCTGGTCAGCTATAAATATAGGAAGTCCCCAACTTCTCATATTCATTCAGAAATCCACTTTCGAGACCTAGAGCAAATTAAGCACATCTTGATTGTTCTTAGTCTTCATCCTCTTTCCATATAGTTTTAGGTCGGCGTTCTTATTCCGACGACCTAAACACCGTTGTATTCTATCAAGCTCCGGCTTCTTCTAATAAAAGATCTCTCTTTAAACCCACAAACCCTAGTTCTCTTATAAGTCGAACTTGAGTTTTTACAGTACATATGCTTCTAATTTTACATGACAAGTTATAACTCTGGTTATTAACACTAAAAGTATTGTAATTATTGGTACTTGTTTTAATTTTTTTTAAAATTTTAAATTAACAAGATAGTCTAATAGGATTAGTAGGTTTATAACAAACAAAAAAAAAGAGAGTATATAACTATCCAATCAGATTTTGTCACATAAAATTTATTAAATATATATGTGTTTCTATATAAAATAAGTCTAATAGTTATATGTCTTATTCTTAAATAATTTTTCTTTGTTTCGTTTGCATTATGATTTTTCTGAAGTTATATATTTATATTCTGAATAAAAAACTGAAATTTTTGTAAGTATAGTTTCTTTTTTTAGATATATAATGATATTTAATAAATAAAAATTACTATTTTTAATAATAATAGAGTTCAGATGATATAAAATTTATTGAAATACACGAAAAATCAAACCATTGAACCAATACCTATTCTTGATTTTTTCTTGGAAAGAGTTATGAACATTGAAAGTTCAGAAAACTTTACGATCAAGTTTCTGTTCAAGACAATGTCTCTTGACAAACCAATTTTAGGTACGATGATTTGAGGTCGACAATGTCTCTTGACAAACCATCTCTACAAGCCCGATATAAATTCTGGTCGGCCCATCTAACAAGTTTCAGGTCGGCGATATAAATGAAAATCTTCCATTTATCGAGCGACCCGGGAAAAAGGAAAGTTTTCTTGTCGGCAAGAAGACTTTCCTATTCTAAATACGTTGAAGACTGACATGGTCAGCTATAAATATAGGAAGTCACTGACTTCTCATATTCATTCAGAAATCCACTTTCGAGACCTAGAGCAAATTAAGCACATCTTGATTGTTCTTAGTCTTGATCCTCTTTCCATATAGGTTTAGGTCGACGTACTTATTCTGACGACCTAAACACCATTGTATTCTATCAAGCTCTGGCTTCTTCTAATAAAAGATCTCTCTTTAAACCCACAAACCCTAGTTCTCTTATAAGTCGAACTTGAGTTTTTACAGTACATATGCTTCTAATTTTACATGACAAGTTATAACTCTGGTTATTAACACTAAAAGTATTGTAATTATTGGTACTTGTTTTAAATTTTTTTAAAATTTTAAATTAACAAGATAGTCTAATAGGATTAGTAGGTTTATAACAAACAAAAAAAAGAGAGAGTATATAACTATCCAATCAGATTTTGTCACATAAAATTTATTAAATATATATGTGTTTCTATATAAAATAAGTCTAATAGTTATATGTCTTATTCTTAAATAATTTTTCTTTGTTTCGTTTGCATTATGATTTTTCTGAAGTTATATATTTATATTCTGAATAAAAAACTGAAATTTTTGTAAGTATAGTTTCTTTTTTTAGATATATAATGATATTTAATAAATAAAAATTACTATTTTTAATAATAATAGAGTTCAGATGATATAAAATTTATTGAAATACACGAAAAATCAAACCATTGAACCAATACCTATTCTTGATTTTTTCTTGGAAAGAGTTATGAACATTGAAAGTTCAGAAAACTTTACGATCAAGTTTCTGTTCAAGACAATGTCTCTTGACAAACCAATTTTAGGTACGATGATTTGAGGTCGACAATGTCTCTTGACAAACCATCTCTACAAGCCCGATATAAATTCTGGTCGGCCCATCTAACAAGTTTCAGGTCGGCGATATAAATGAAAATCTTCCATTTATCGAGCGACCCGGGAAAAAGGAAAGTTTTCTTGTCGGCAAGAAGACTTTCCTATTCTAAATACGTTGAAGACTGACATGGTCAGCTATAAATATAGGAAGTCACTGACTTCTCATATTCATTCAGAAATCCACTTTCGAGACCTAGAGCAAATTAAGCACATCTTGATTGTTCTTAGTCTTGATCCTCTTTCCATATAGGTTTAGGTCGACGTACTTATTCTGACGACCTAAACACCATTGTATTCTATCAAGCTCTGGCTTCTTCTAATAAAAGATCTCTCTTTAAACCCACAAACCCTAGTTCTCTTATAAGTCGAACTTGAGTTTTTACAGTACATATGCTTCTAATTTTACATGACAAGTTATAACTCTGGTTATTAACACTAAAAGTATTGTAATTATTGGTACTTGTTTTAAATTTTTTTAAAATTTTAAATTAACAAGATAGTCTAATAGGATTAGTAGGTTTATAACAAACAAAAAAAAGAGAGAGTATATAACTATCCAATCAGATTTTGTCACATAAAATTTATTAAATATATATGTGTTTCTATATAAAATAAGTCTAATAGTTATATGTCTTATTCTTAAATAATTTTTCTTTGTTTCGTTTGCATTATGATTTTTCTGAAGTTATATATTTATATTCTGAATAAAAAACTGAAATTTTTGTAAGTATAGTTTCTTTTTTTTAGATATAATAATGATATTTAATAAATAAAAATTACTATTTTTAATAATAATTGAGTTCAGATGATATAAAATTTATTGAAATACACGAAAAATCAAACCATTGAACCAATACCTATTCTTGATTTTTTCTTGGAAAGAGTTATGAACATTGAAAGTTCAGAGAACTTTACGATCAAGTTTCTGTTCAAGACAATGTCTCTTGACAAACCAATTTTAGGTACGATGATTTGAGGTCGACAATGTCTCTTGACAAACCATCTCTACAAGCCCGATATGAATTCTGGTCGGCCCATCTAACAAGTTTCAGGTCGGCGATATAAATGAAAATCTTCCATTTATCGAGCGACCCGGGAAAAAGGAAATTTTTTCTTGTCGGCAAGAAGACTTTCCTATTCTAAACACGTTGAAGACTGACATGGTCAGCTATAAATATAGGAAGTCACCGACTTCTCATATTCATTCAGAAATCCACTTTCGAGACCTAGAGCAAATTAAGCACATCTTGATTGTTCTTAGTCTTGATCCTCTTTCCATATAGGTTTAGGTCGGCGTTCTTATTCTGACGACCTAAACACCGTTGTATTCTATCAAGCTCTGGCTTCTTCTAATAAAAGATCTCTTTTTAAACCCACAAACTCTAGTTCTCTTATAAGTCAAACTTGAGTTTTTACAGTACATATGCTTCTAATTTTACATGACAAGTTATAACTCTGGTTATTAACACTAAAAGTATTGTAATTATTGGTACTTGTTTTAAATTTTTTTAAAATTTTAAATTAACAAGATAGTCTAATAGGATTAGTAGGTTTATAACAAACAAAAAAAAGAGAGAGTATATAACTATCCAATCAGATTTTGTCACATAAAATTTATTAAATATATATGTGT